AATTCTATATTGTTAAATCGAAGCATTGGGATTTCCTTTGCTAAATTATGAATCAAAATTTTTCCTTTTTTCAAAAAAATTCTTGTATGTCCAGCAGTGGGGGTCAATTTGTCTCAGCTTCGTTTGTTTTTATGCTAAAAGGTATGCGATTTTGGTTAGGCACCTCCACTACAATGGGTTTTGGGTGTGGAGAGAGGAGGTGTAAAGTTTTTTCATGTTTCTTTCTTTACTTTTTTTTTCCCTTTTTTCCCCCCTCGTTTCTTCCAGTTTTGTTTATGTTTTTATATATTATCAAAACTAAGAATAGAGTTGACTCTCGTAAAGAAATTGTCATAATAGCATATTTTAGGAAGGATACATCCTTGCGGACTTGTTGTGCACCAATTTTAAATGGCTAGGGATGCTACTGCAATACAATAGGTGGAGTATCGAGTCGCTGGAGATATGATACTAGTTGGGGATTAACGGTGAAATTCCATATCCCTTCTTCTCTCATTGGCATAGCTTTTATGTCTGTTCTGTGTTGCTTCTATTATAGGCCTAATCTTGTCAATGGCCTAGACTATCTTTTCAATAATTTCTAGATAAAAATTTTCTTTTCTGCAACTTCAACCCAATGGTCTATGATATCCATTTTTTTGCCATAGAGAGCCTCATATGGTGCCATTCTTAGAAAGTGAATGAGTGCTTCAGTTAGACAACGGCAACAACGGCACGAGTGAAAATAGTTCGCCAATTAAGAATTCTCAGATGTACTAGCACTGCATCTTTGATGCAGTCCTTTTTTCTGTGAGGAACTGTTGGCACCAGTTCTACATTTTGTCTCTGTGGACTGAGGAGAAAAGGGGCTCGGCGGAAAATTCCCCACTACTACCTCCCATAGGAGTCTGGGCTATCTCAGGAGTAGCTTGGAAGTCGTTATTATTGGCGAATTCTACTATTGGCATGAGTGATTCCCAACTCTAAAATCTGAATGATCATTTACACATTCGAACCACCTTTTTTGTCTCATATTTAATTAACTTTTAGCTGTAAAAGTAGTGAATTCATATTTTTAGTCCATGAGCAACCATTGCAAGTTATAGGTCATGCATTGGATAGTTCCACTTGTACAGTTTCAACTGTCTCAAAGCATTGATAATCACATTTCCATGTTGCACCAGCATACATCCCAAGCCCTACTTGGGCCAATCACTCCTCTCTGAACCTTCTATTATTCTTAACGTTAGATGTAAGCATGTAAACAATCGTTGCTTCAACTTCTGAAGACTATGTTCGCATTTATATTTCTGTTAGACAATTGTCTACGATTCTTACAAAAGAGACAAAGAAATTGTTGCTTTTAATTCAAGTAGGTACCCCACTCCATGGATATAATCTAAATCTACACTCCAAACTTCCAGTTTAGTAAAACTATCAACAACATTAATATGGATGTTATATAATTAAAATGGTGGAGTATAAATAATTAATTTCTATCAACCTATTAAATATTATATCTTCATAAAATTATAGATATTGGATTTCAAAAATGCGCAATAAAGTTCCTTTTGGTAAATAATCTTAATCACATAATAGTCTTAAATATTAAATTAGAAAATATTTCACAACATCACTACAATGCGATCGATAAAACTTCAAATTTAAAAGTAATTAACAACGATGTACAAAATCATGTGCATCATGAGTCACATTTTATGTGGAACACCATTCTTGCCAATGTTGTATGTCAAACCTCCCATTGGGGGCCGCTATGCCAAAAATGAGAGCCACCCCATCCCTCTCTTTTCCTTTTTTGCCCCCGTGTGTCATACAACACTAGTAATACCAAACAAGGAATTAGGCTTCACTTCCATTATTTTTTGATAGATTTATAATACACGTTTGAGATGCCATTCTTCCTTGAATATATTCATTTCTATTCCTCCAATATATAATATATTTTCAATTTTAAAATGTGGAATAAAAAATTTAATAATTACTCTTGTAAATTACATAGAATTTTTTTATTAAGAATTAAAATCTGTGGAATAAAACACGCATGATTGTATTTAGAAGCAAATAAACTTTGTATATTAGAGCAAAATTTGAGTAACAAAACTTATCGTTGAATATCATTGAAGACAAAAATGAAAGTTTGAATATAAGTTCTGATTGAACTCATTATAAATACAATTTAATGATATACGTACAAATGGAGTCTTTATGGTTGGGTTTCATCTTATACATTGTTTGGACCTCAAATATTTTAAATTACGAACCAGCTATAAGAAATGTATTAACTATAAACTCAGACTCACATGATTTTCAATCTGTCAAACCTGAAGCAATCAGCAAATTAATAGTAACATTTCATTATGCCCTTGATTATGAAAATTAAATCGATGCCAGGGAGTGCCTCGAAGAATACTATATACAACGGAACTAAATAAACACAGTTCTTTAGAAAGAACACCTAAATTCGACAGCCTAATTAAATAAAAATTCATGATGAAACAACATAGGTTGCTCAGACAGAGCTATTCAATGCTGCATTCAGTCGGCTGAACACCACCGTCAGCGGGACGCAAGCTAGAACTGGGTTCGCGAGTGTGTTGATCACAGGGATCTCCTCTGGCTCCAGTGAACCCGTAAGTGGAGCAAAATTCCTGGTGTTTCTTGATGAACCCCTGTGCTTTTTTGATTTTTGTGATTTCACTGGTGGGACCGGCTGCGGCAGCCTGACATTCTTTGTGCGTGGCCTTCCACATGATCTCTTTTCAATAACCATACCATATTCTAAAACATCAACGTTAAGTGGACGGTCAACAATTGATTTATGGGTTAACTTGCTCATTAGAGAAATATTTGGAATATGTTGCGGTTGGTAGCTTGTTTTTGCCTCGAGAGTAATGTCATACAAGCTAAAGTCATCATTACAGTCTCCAATATAAAAATCTGATGGGTCATACTTCGGATTGAGAGTTGAACGTGACTTGCGATGGGGCATTAACCTCTGGGGAACTGCCAGTTCATTAGCTTGTCCTCGTGTCTGAGGTTCTATCGGATGAACAGATGACTTTTCAACCTTAACATCTGTAATTGGTCCCAACTTTCCAAAATAGCTGTCCAGAATGGTGTCTGACCTGTACACATAGCCATTCGGTTTTCTCGACCTCGATTTCCTTCTTCCTTTTAGCTTCCACTCAAAAGTGCCTATTCA